TAACAGTGTAGGATATGGATTCCATCGCCTAGAGTAGGCCTTGAATGTAATGAAAAGATTGTTGGTTGATCGCATTACATTTCTGTCACTATTGTCCCAGTTGGTGATTCTTGACATTAGCTTACTATTGTAGCTCACAGGGTGATATTGACAATTACCTTTCTCTTCTTCCACCCAGCTACACAGCAAGTCATGGAGAAAGAAGTAAAGAAAGGTATACAGAAAGAGAGAGAGATAAATGCCCAGAGGCAAAAAATCAATGGAATAATTTAAGAAAAGTTGGCAAGAAATAAGCCAAGCTAAGGCTGGGCATTCATAAGTAAGAATAAGTCTCCATATATGATTTTGGGAGCTGGGTGGCTGGTCTCTCAAAAGAGCAAAGAGGGTAAAAAGAGTAAAAAAAAAAGTATTAAACATAGTCTAAAACCAGGTTGGTTCTATAGTAACACTCAACTGTACCATAGTATTCTAAGTACAAACTCTTCCTTTCCATTATTTTTTAATTGAATTTAATATCATTTTGACAATTGTGATTATATTAACTGGCATGCCTTCAATTTTACTCTTCACTCCTATCGTTCCCCTTTTTCTTCCCAAATGGTCTGCTTCCACTTTTATTTATTTTGTGATTGTGTTTAATTAGGGATGAGATCATGGGCTATTTATTAGATAGAGCAAAAACAACTTACCAGTAACTGTACCACTAAAGATAATGATACCCCCTTTCATTAACCGTTAACTGCCAATTGCTATCCAGGGAGGAGTTAAGTCTCATGAGCCCTTCCACCATGCATGATGGAATGTTGAAGAACCCAGGCTTACTTGTTTCCAGCTGCATGGTCATGATTGCAATAACCATGCAATATCCACAAATAGTTATTCACGGCTTCTCTGATTAAGGCTGGGAGCCATTTTGTGTATGAGTATAGCCTTAATTTAAAAGGCATTGTTTCATTAGGTAAGTTTAGATATGTACCAGAAATATGTTCCCTGCGTGGTTTTCAGGGAAGTGGATGAAATTGCTTTTAAAAATCTAAAAGGAGGTAATCCAGGCCTCAAGGGACAAATAGTGCATATTCTATTTCATATGAGAATTCTAGTTTCAACTCTTTTAATATGGTGTGTCTGTAATGGAGTATCTTTGCAAGTCAGGAAACAAGAATGGCAATAAGGGAAAAGAGTTACCTCAAGGAAGAGGGATTAGTAGATCATAAGAAAAAAGAAAGTGAATATTGTTGGTAAAAAGATTTACAGAGGGAGGGCAAAGAGGGAATGGGGAGGGTACAGGATGCAGGAAACTTAATGGAGATAGAATATAAAGAAACCAAGATATTCCTACTATACAAAAGTGACTTGACTATTGAGGGAGTAAACAGCTGCTCTCTGAAAGGATACAGGACCCTCCTCACTGCGGCAGGGGATTACTGTAAGCCTGGCTAACAGTATTTGATTTAAATACATCCAAACCCTAAAATGTATGTTTTGGCATGAAACTATGTTTAACTGAAATTTAAATAGCTGTGAAGAGACACCATGATAAAGGAACTCTTATAAAAGAACATATTTAATGTGAGTCTTGCTTACAGTTTAGGCCATCATTATTACGGTTGGTAACATGGCAACATGGAGGCAGGCATGGTGCTAGAAAAGTAGCTGAGAGCTTGACGTCCTGATCCACAGGCAGCAGGCAGAGGAGCCTTCTTATGGAGGAGCTTTTTTATGGAATAGAGATAGAGAAATCTCTCTGTGGTCTCACATAATGATACTAACCTTAAAAGACTGGAATGTTTGTCATTAGTGATGTTTTAAAGTCGTATCTGCAAATACAAACATATAGGCATTAGGGCTCAGAATAAGAATATTCTGAAGCTGAACTATTAAATACATACACACATGCACACATGCATGCACGTGCGTGCGTGCACACACACACACAAACACAAACACAAACACTACAGGTCAATAAAAATGAAAGGCTGAAATATTTTCAGACAATGTTTAAAAATGTACAAAAAGCTGTAAGAACATATGGAGGTTATTCTCATTTCTAATCTGTGAAATGAAAACATTTTTCTCATTCATATTTCCAAGCATAAATAATTCTCATGCAGATATTAATAATAGTGATAAGCGAGTCCTTTGGTTTATTTAATGATAGCTAGTTTACAAAGTACTTTACCAGAATTATTTAGTGCTATTATAAAAGAACATTATGATATATTTCCATCATTATCTTCAATTCACATATGGGCCACTTGGAACCCAATGAGGTAACAGGCTTTCTCAAGGTCATGTTGGTTTCAAATTGTAAAGCAAAGTCAGAACCTTAATCCTGAAAACTCATTTTTTTAAAGTTTATTAAATTATGAAAGTTTTCATTTCCGCCCCTCCTCCCAACACCCTCCCACTCCCCCCTCCCCCTCCTCCTCCCTCTTCATCCCTAAGAGCAGTCAGGGCTTCCAGCCCTGTGGGAAGTTCAAGTTCCTCTCCACTTCTTCCAGGTCCTGAAGGTGAGTATCCGAACAGACTGGATCCCAAAAATCCAGCATATGCAGAGGAAACAAGTCCCAGTGTCTTTGTCAGTGGCTTTTCAGAAAGGCTCCGGACCAGCCACATTCAGAGATCCGGCCACATTCAGAAAATCTGGTTGGATCACATGCTCGTTCAGTCCCAGTCCAACTGGCCTTGGTGAACTCTCATTAGATCAGTCCCCTTGTATCAGTGGGTGATCGCACCCCTCGCGGTCCTGAGTTTTTTTATGTTCTTCCTTTTTCTGCCCCTCATTTGGACCATGGTGGGCTCAGTCCGGTGCTCCAATGTGGGTCTCCATCTGTATCGCCATCCATCATCAGATGTAGGATCTATGGTGATAAGCCTGGAGATTGGAAATAGACAAGAGTCCCAGGTAACCTCGGGTGCATGGGGGGGTGGGAGGGTTGTTGGAAGGGGAGAGAGTTAGAGAGAAGGGAGTAGGGAAGGAATGGGGAAAGCTAGGTGGACTGGGATGGGGAGAGGGAAGAAGGATGGATATGGGAGCAGGGAAGTATATATCTCAACTAAGGGAGTCATTTTAGAGTTTAAAAGAGACTTGATTATAAAGGGGATCCCAGGTCCAAGGAGAGATCCCCACATTGTTCTCTGGACAGAGGAGAGGGTGCCTGAACCGGCCTTGGCCTATAACCATACTGATGAAGATTTTGCTTATCACCATAGATCCTTCATCTGAAAACTCATTTTTGTGGTTTCTTATTAATGGGAGCAATAGCAAGCTGTCTTCCAAGGCAATAGGCACTGTTCTAAGTACTTGGTAAAATTAATACATTTAATTCTACAACAACCTTATAAGATATGCAAAATATGACTGTTGCCTCCATTTTACCCATGAGAAAATAGTTACAGTTAAAGGATCTGTAACCTGCAGTCTTCAGAATAAAATTCACTACCTAATAGATACCACAATTTTAAATAATTCTAATTACCACAACTGTAATCCAACTATTATTGCAAATTGCAAAACTCTGATACCTGTGAAGGTTTTAAACTATGTTAAAACTTTACCATTGAACATATTTATAAGCAGGTATGTCAGTCTGCAGCTTCATAAAATGTTATATTGTTATGTGTTAAAACTTTCCAGGGGATGCAGCTGGCAATTCTGTTCACACCAGATAGCAAACCCATGACAGACCAGATGCCAACAAAGTCCAATTTGGTGAACCAAACAGTTTTTTGGGGGTTACTTACAGAAATATGGGTGAGGGATCATTTACATGAGCAAAACTGATTCAAAGACAGCTGCATCACCAAAGCCCACCCCATGCTGAGAACCTGGAACACACTGCATACCTTACAGACAATGCAGCATGTTTGAGAGTCTCCAGTCCAAGTGTAGGTCCAAGTGCTTCAGTTGGTCTAAACTTCCTACAGGCAGATCAGCTGGTTTCCAGTTCTTCCAGGGAGATGGTTTGCTCTCAGAGTCTTCTTTGCAGCTCGGTTACCTTCTGTCAGGGAAGGAACTCTCTCAGCTTCTATTGCTTATTTTGGCAGGAAGGGGCATAGTGAATCTGGTCAGGTTCAGGGACTTACTGAAGCTATTTTGAGTTGTTTACCATCCTGCTCAAGGAACTTTCTGCAGGATAGAATATTTTTCAATTTGAAAGGATATACAACAGATATGTTATCAGTGAGATAAAACGAAGATATTCAAAGATTAAAAATTGAATGATCCTTCTGTAACAAAATGTCAGCAACCAAATGGTTTTCATTATCCGGAACTCAGAATCAGCAAGGAAAAGTTTCATCATCTGTATTTGAGCTCTAAAGCATTCTTAGGGAGCTCCTGGAAACTCTCTGCATTAACTCAGTAATAAGAAAGAGTGAGCCAGCTATAAACCAACATTATTAATAAATCATTCTGCATCTGCAGAAACAAATATCTCACTGACATATGACATGGGAATGACAACAACAGACTAAAACTCTAATCCCAGTGTTCTCTAATCAGTAGTGAAGGAGGTTAATTTGAGACCTTTAGGCAGAAGAGGCCTGTTTTGTTTTGTTTTGCTTTGTTTTTCCAAGCAACAATCACAACAAGCATTACCCTTTAGCTGCTGACAGGAAAGTTCAAAAATTCCATCATGTCCTAGTTTCTTGTACTTGATAAAGGTTAATAAAACACAGTTTCAGGAAAGAAACATTTCTCCACTTCTTAATGCTCTGAAAAAGACAACAATAGGTTTTTCTTATTTTTATTTATTTATTTATTTATTTAGGTTTTGAATTTGGTTTTTCTAGAAAGGATTTCTGTATGTAGCAACACAGGCTGTCCTGGAATTCACTTTGTAGACCAGGCTAAACTCAAACACACAGATCTACTTGCCCCTGCCTCCCAAGTGCTGATATAAAAGGTATGTCCCACCGATGCCTGGCTTGATAGATCTTGTAGATCTGAAGGTTGATGAGAAGATTCCCTTTAATACATTCTTGAGCTGATGATTGTTGAAGGAAGTGCCATCAGGGGAAGATCGTTTGGGTTCCAGACACACATCATGATTCTTCTCTCGTCAGGATTGGTTTTGAGTGTCAATAACTTTTTGCAGCTGGTCTACTCCTTGACCCGAGTAATCTGAATCCATATTTTTGTAGTCTGCTCCAAAATGTCTCCACTGGAAACCATAAACTGGGCCCAGCTCCCCTTCCTGTCGTGCAGAGAATCCCATGCTGTCCAGAAAATCTCGGGACCCATTGGCATCCCAGATTCTCACTCCTTTGGAGGCCAGTTCTTTAGCATTTGTGGATCCCTTGATAAACCACAGCAACTCCTTCAAAACACCCTTCCAGAACACTCGTTTGGTTGTGAGCAGAGGAAGTTCATCTCTCAGGTTGTATGGTGCCTGCATGCCTAACACCGTCAAGGTGCCTGCACCCGTGTGGTCCTCCTTGAAACCACAGCGCATAATGTGCTCCAACTGCCCCAGATACTGCCCCTGCCTAGGTAAAAGCCACATTCTGGTTACCAGTACTTTCAGAAATTTGTAGAAAAAAATATTAGTATCAGTTCATCTATAACTCAAAGGTTAGGGGAGAACAAGTAGTGTAGATGGATGAATAAGAATCCAAATACATATTGATAGGCATAAATGGGCAAAACTCATCAAGTTGACTTTTAGTGAGATTGATTTAATTCTATACCTTCAGTATCAAAAAACCTAATTCACATACGCATATTGGGTAGACTCATTTAGCAATAGCACTTGTAGAAGATATCTGGTTTAATGTCAATGGTAGTATGTATGAGTCACAATATATTTTGTGTCCATTCCCCAAAGAACAAATACTGTCTTTGGCTGCATGCATAAGCTTTTAGTGACTAAAATGAGAGCAAGGGTAATAAACATTTCAGAACAGTAATTAACAGTCTACTAATTTAGGGGTGTATTTAAGAAGGAGGAACAATAAAAATCTACTTAGAATAGGATTATTTTCCAAGAGGGTCCAGGGCTGTCTTACTTGTAGAGAGTAGGCAGATAGGAACCAGGGCACCTTCCTTTGACACTTGGCGAGGTATGAAACTGTTAGATGCTTATATTAAAAGAATGATATTCTGTCTTTCTTTTATTTGCCACAGAGTAGAAAAATAGAAGAGAAAATAAAAAGTAAATATTTAAACCAAGTTGGGCAGGAGACATTGCTTAATGATGGTTAAGACTACTGGCTGCTCTTGATACCATCTGGTTTCAATTTCCAGCACCCACAAGGCAGCTAACTCCAGTTCCAGGGGATCTAATGCACTCTTCTTGCTTTCACAGGCAGTGCATGATTGATGTACATGCAAGCAAAGAGCACTAATATAGATACATAAATACATACATACACACATACATACATGAATGCATGCATTGCAAAATCCCAATATAAGTACAAGGAAAAAAAAACAAACTAAAAGAGAATGGGTGGCAGTAAGTGGTGTGTTACTTTAGTTTAGTGTTGACAGAAAAGGGCTTGAAAGGTAGAGATGAGTTTTGAGTGAAGAACTGTATCAGTGCAACAAGTAAAGTCCACAAGAATAACATAATTTTACACCGGTTTATTTAAAGTCTAAAATATGTACCAATCTGAATGATGCTTATGGAGGAGGAAGAGAAGTATTATATGTGAAGGTGCACATGGACATAGACTTTTTATATATACAGTCAGTCCTTATTTTTACAAATTATACATTTATACATTCAGTTAACTTTGTTTAAGTCACTTAAAACTAAATCTACACAAAGAACATTATTCTATGAACAATATGATATAGTGCTTTTTAGCCAGCTTTTGAGGTTTAAACATTTTGAGTATTAAGCATTATGAGTAATCTAAAAGTGATTTAGAATATATGAGAGGATGTATATAGTGGTATATAGTGTGTAAATAAACAACAAATAATTTTGTATTATATATAACTTTATTCATAAATTACTTAATATTTTTATCCATGTTTTTTAACTCTTTCATTTTTTTAGTATGTTCCTATTCAATTTTTGCTCTTCTGCTTAAAATTTCTGCCCAGTTACTTCCATTGACTTATTTGTTGTGTACCTATGGGTTTAATGGACACTTATTTCATATCCTGGATATTAATCCTTGATCTAATGTGTACATTGCAAATGTTTTCTATTAGATAGTAGCTTGCCTCTCTGTTTTCTATATGATGTCTTTAAATATAAAGAGGTACCTAAATTTGAGGTAGATAAATTATTGTGACTTTCTTTTAGAAATTACTTACTTTTATTGAACAGAATTTGTCTTTACAGACATGATCATATTGGCTTACAATAAAGTAAAGAAAGAAAATCTAAGAACAAGTCTTGCAATATTCATATTATAATACTTGTAAGTAATAGTATAAACCCATAGAGGAATCAGAGAAGCAACCAGCAATAATAACCTTTATTCTATAGAATTTTGGAGAAGTTCCCCACGTCCTTGGTTAGGTTTATTCCTAGATATTTTTTTGAAACTATTATGAATGGGAGTGTGTTGCTTATCTCCTCTGTATGCTTGTGGTGAAGGATGGGCAAGATGACTCTGTATTTTGCCACAGTGTTGAATTTGTCTATAATTTCCAGTTCTCTGGTAGAGCTTTTGGGATTTCAAATGTATAGTATCAATATCATCTGAAAATAGAGTTTGATTTCTTCTTTCCCTATTTATATTCTTTTAATTTCCATTTCTGTGAATTAGTGTGATCTAGAATTTTAGATTCAAGTCATTATTAATGAACAGGTGATTATAAAAATAAGTTAGAAAAATAAAAAATGTATTTTTCCTAATGTATTACTTTACCATTTCTTATTTTTGCTTCTTATTGTTCCTTTTTTTGCCATCAGTGGGAGTATTTTATCTGCTAAATTTTATTCCTTTGTGTTTTCTGGATTTTAATGAATTATATACTTTCAAAGCACTAGCAGATATTACCTTTACCCTTTTCAAAACCTCTACTTCATTGTTTTCCATATATATTAAACTCCAAAGTGAGTCCATATCTTTCTTATTTCAATAGAGAAATTGAGACACATTTAAAACATTCTCCTTTCATTAAATTGGTCTCTATTTTTTAATGTTGTTCATAACTGAATTCAAATTATTGTTATTGTGTCACTATTTACAGTTTATCTACTTGGTAAGAATATTGAAATAATTTGACTTTATTTGTGATTAATTTTAGAAGCTACAGACTTATTAATTTTCAATATCAGTTTGGTCCTATCTTTCCCCTTTCTGTATCTGCTATCTTTGCTAGACATATCAGTCGATATGAATATTATTCAAATAACTTTTGAGTATACTGCAGGACAGTGTAGTCTGTTTTTTACACTTATAGCTGTCTATGCAAGTCTTGGATTACAGTATTTTGATGTATCTGAAAATATTACACCATCCTTTTTCTCCATTTTGTGTTTCAGTTAAGACATGTGAGAAAGGTTTCACTTGTTTCCTTTTTAATTTAGCTTACATTATTATTCAGATGATTGTAGATATTTTTATGTCTTTACCAAAGAAAAGCAGAAAGATCAAAGAAGTTGCTTATGTATGTTTATATGTGATTCTCTTCACATGATTTTTTCACAGGTTCAGATCTTCCGAAATACTTTAGCAGTTCAAAAAAGGTTACTTTTGACTAGATTCCTCAAATGTCATTACTTCCTGCATTTTCTGGGGCAACATTTGCCTGTATTTGTCTATATTTACTATTCTTACCTTTTTGATATCATATACTATACCTTTCTACATTGTGATATAATTCTTAAGCCTGTCAAGCACACTATTGCTTCAACTAAAGTATTCTATTGTAGTATTGAAAGTTGTTTTTTTTTTTAGAAAAAACATCTATGTGCTTGTTTTACTCAAGTGCTTAAATTTTCATTTAAGCAAATGCAAATTTTCATTGCTTCTCTCTCTCTCTCTCTTTTTTTTTTACCACATGTCTTATCTTTACTTTTATATCATCGGTTTTAAAAACTGTGTTAAGAATAAAAAATTCCTTCTGGTTTCTATAATATTGTGATGTTCTGTGTACAAAATATGTGAAGAATTTTTAATTGAAATTTTTTCATACTATATATTTTGAACATCCTCTTCGTTTTCCCCCAACTTCTCCATATCCTTCCTATTCCTTTACCTACCCATCTTCTCTCCTGAAGAAAAAAAAAGATACAAGAAAAATAAACAAAAATAAAAATCAAAACTAACAAGCTAACTTAACTGAAAATAGATAAGAAAAAAATACTAAATCAAATAACACAGAAATAAACAAATTAAACAAACAAACAAAACTGGAGTCCCTTTTCTGGGCCTGGTGCCTACCTTGATGTGTGTATGAAATACCTATTGAAACTCCACTGGAGAAAACTGATTTCCAATTTCCCATCAGGTATCTATTGCAAATATCTTCAAGGCTATGGATGGGGCTTTGTACTTCCCTTTTTCAGTGCTTGGAAATTGTCTGACTTGAATCTGTGCAGGTCTTGTGTGTGCTGCTCCAGTCTTTGGAATTCAAGAATGCTAATGCAGTCTCATTACTGGTATTTGGGGGTTTATTTTATTTTTTTAACTACGATTACAAATTCCCTAGTAATGGACATAGACCGATTCAAGCTAAATTAGTATCCAAAGATTAAAACTTTAGCTAAAACACTTCTAGTCTAAATAATGTTTCTTTAATATGGGAAGCAATATAGTTTTGTAATATGTGAAATTTTTGAATACTATTTATTTTTTGTTTGCTTCTTTTACTCCTCATACAAGTTAGTTTCATTTTATGGTATAGAAGATAATGAACTTGCATGCAAAGATACACTATTAGCCTTGATTCTTGATGGTCTGCTGGTGCTCAGTAGATAGAAAGAGTTTGAAGAAGGTAAGTTAAAATGATGTAACTTTGTGGCTTAAGGGATAGTTAAGCAATCAGTAAAGATATAAAATTTCCTCATAGGGAGAATGTATTAAAAGCAAAATTGGCTAACTTCCAGTTTCAGAATGGATCACACAAACAGAGCAGAGATTCTAGCAAATCTACATTACCTTTATTTAAAGATTTGGTCATCTCACAATTAATTTGGTGGGCCTGAAAGTATCTGTTAACCTCTCTTGGAATAGCATGTGAAATGTGCTCAATAAATCCTCCTTTCACACTAGTGACCACGGTGCAGAAAATAAGAAATAGCACCAAGTGACAAATTAAATTGGTAGCTACCCAGTTGACTTCCATTACCACTGGTTGAACACATGCTTAATTCCAAATTCTCCTCAGGATCACAAAATGTAATGCTTATAAAAAAATCTTCATGTGATAAAACCTCACAAAAGACTTCCTTGATTCCCTTCCATTTTATATTTTTGATATCTTCATATCATTCTTCTTTTCTTTCAAGAGAGAGAAAAAGGAACGGTGAGATATATGGGAGATAGAGAACATTTCTAATGTTTACCAGCCATA